CCTTGCATTCTAGGGCTGACATTACCAGCAAAGAGAAGGGAGATTAGAGCGGTTATTTCTGGCCTTTTAGTCGTCATCAGCCGACCACATCCAATTCCAGGTTTTACAACCCCCGAGGCTCGGTCCTGCTACCTGATGGTCTGCAGTGAGTCGCGACTCCTAGGTCCTCTGGATGGCGATTGGCTACTTACAAGGGCAGAGTGACGCTCACCTCTATTCTACTAGTCGCTGTGCGGCTGCTGTCAGGCGTAGGGACTAGGCACCAAGGAACAAAATGGGCTGCATGTGTCTCTTAACGCGATGCATGAACACTCGTCTGCCGCTTTGCATTCTGTTTCACACTCTTCGACTGTGAGACCCAATTAAAATGCTGAGTGCTTGCTTGTGAAAAATTACGCACTGGTAAGGATTTAGGTTTACTTTCCAAACTTCATTTTCGTTTGAATGAAAAAAAAATCTGCGAGGACCAATTAATCACTGCATTATTGCGCAGGACGGGCGTGGGTGCATTTGCAACCGAGGAGATCAGAGCCAGCAGCGAGGTGGACGCACAGAGGTCATCAAACATTAAGCACGCAAGCCAGAGGCTGGGCCAAACGCACCACGTGTAAACTGTTTATCCAACCTGTGTTCAGGACACGGAACTTTTTTCTTCGCAAATTTCAGCCGTTTTAAATGTGCGCACACAAAGCGGCGCGTCGAAACCCGGTTGCGAATGCTAGAGCGGTAATGTTTGCGATGATCAGACCACAGTAGGGTGTCTAACTCCAGAAAATCGTTTCTACGCGGGCCAAAATCGTAGAATCACACGCAGTGTAATTATGCCTACGGGGATTTTGATGTAATTTTTTTTGGTTTAGGCGCTTGAATCTTCGGAAAGTGGCATTGAAACCAAGGCTTGTTTGAAACGTGCGCTTTTTGTCGGCGGTCAGTTCGTTTAGATTTCAGGAGTTGGGATCCGGCATTTCGATCAATTGTAAAGCGGGTGTGCTATCTCATTAAATACTGACCAGAATTATGAAACGTGTTTGCGTTTGAAAAGGCAGCCGGATGTGGTTATGTAGTCACACCTGAAGGAAACAAATCCCAGTCACCTGTAATACGGCACCAGCGGGTATAGGGGCTTTACAGGTGGGATCGGGGAACGCCCAGTCGACGGGGTCAAGCAGTTATGTGCAAAAGAAAAGACATTGGGAATGCGCGGTTGGACGTTAAATGCTTGAGAAATAGTTGCGCTAACCCCTAACCATAAACCTTAACTATAACTCCTCATCTTAAACCCTTGCTTATGGCCCTAACTCCTAACCGTAACACCTAACACTTACCCCTAATCAATAAACTTACCATGACCCCTAACCATAGCCTCTCACCATAGCTCTTAACCCTAGCCCTTACCATAACTCCTAACCCCTAACAATAGCCACTAACCATAGCTCCTAACCCTAACCCTTACCATATTTCCTAACCCCTAACCATTACCCCTAACTTTTAACCTCTACCCTAGCAGTATCGTTTCCTTCAGGTGGGGCTACCAAAGCACATTTCACCGATAGGACTAAATATGCAGGACTGTAATATTAATAACGGTCGGTTTGAAAGGAAATTCTTCCTGGCCTCCTGAAAAAAACATACTCCTTAAAATGGACTACTTAAACTTACTTTCGTCAGACGGAAATCTTCTGGATGATCTTCTCCAAACCCATTTCGTCAGCGAGGATTCCGTTAATTCCCTGGTCGAAGAGCGTGAGCAGTCACGTGATGCCACGCAAGTCGGTAGGCCTTCAGGTCGCCATAGAAGGAAAATGATGGACGAGTAACCTAGGTGGCGGTAGAGATCTCGGCTTCAAGTTCGCTTTTAATGGCCAGAGGGATTGCAAACTCCGAGAGCTGAGCCGGGACCGATGAAAAACAGTGAATATCTGAGAAATGAGTCGATGGACAAATTCTTATATGAACAAAAACAAACTCACTTAAGGTTAGTGAAATTTGGTTCATAGCGAGTTGAGAAAATTCATTTATTGGCGCACGAAATCTGGAATCTGTACTGATATGACAATCATTCCTGCGAACTTGGAGTAGATCGGTATATTCCTTTAATTTATGAAGAAATTGAAAAGCAGCGATTTCTAAACGGGAGTATCTTCCAGAAAACAGACAATGAATTCTGGGGGACCCACAAATGAGCCGAACCCTTCGCAGCTGTGTCATGCAGCGGCAGAGTATCGATGAAACACACATATGGGCGTTTGGCTACTACCTGTGCTGCTAGTATAGAACAACCTTACCCTATTATATAAGGTTTTCTCATTGGTCTTTGATGCCCTTATAAATTCAGGTAGATTTCATTGAACAAAATGCCTAAATGTGTTTGTTTTTTCATTCGCTTCGCAGAACAGCATGTCTCCTTTAAGTCCTGTACTCGAAGAAAGAGTATTTCTTGCCTTTAAAAAGTTACTGTGAGATTTAATAGGATCGTGAACCCCATACTACGTCTTCTAAATAACATATAGATCTGTGTGATCGCCTTGCATGGAAAATATGCAACCTATAGCGTGGAAACGATAGAGGCAACTGTTACGACTGATTGGGTTCAACATCGGGAATTTAAAAAGTCCCCTAATGCAAAGTATATCCATTCTATAAGTATGTAATTTGATTAAGATATTGGTTGCTACCATGTGAGGAAATGCAGTGCTGGCATCTGCCGGGCTACTTTCACGTCAAAAAGCGAGATCGACAGGACGTGCTGGTAACTAAGACGATCTGTGACGGTGATGAGCGGACCGATCACCACCTCTTTATCTCCAATGTCAGGCTCCGACTGCAACCTTGCTGGAGACCACAAGGTAAGCAATTAGCTTGTTGACTTATCCTGCTCGTTGTCTGCATTTCAGCAGTCATTTGGACCAGCGGGTGGAGGAACTGCCGTTCCCAGATGACAACGCCACCGCAGAGGCTTGATAGTGTCACCTGCGAACTGCTATCCACTCGACAGCATTGGGCTTCCTCGGTACCGCACATTACCAATATCGGGACTGGTTCAATGACAACGACGGAGACATCAGTCAACAGTTGGCTGAAAAGCACTGCAAGCAAAAAGCCTACATGAACCAACGGACCGTCGGAGCAAGACGACCTTCCTTGTGCAGTACCGACTGAGGTAGATGCGGGACGCCTGGAAGTCCAGGGATATGTCGACCGTAGTGAATTCGTTAACTTCTTCGAAACTCTCATGGCGATATAGGACCCCAAACGAAGGCAGCCACGCTAATTCACTGCTCCGATGATAGGTCGCTTCTTATGGAGAAATCACAGACACTGAAGCGCTGGGCCAAGCCCTTTAGAAGCGCGTTCAATCATCCCTTTACAACCTCCGGCGACGCTATCGGCCGACTTCCGCAAATGGAAATGAAAAATGACCTGAATCTGTCGCATTCTCGCCCAGAAACCATCCGCGCACTTCACCAAATGTCCAGCTGGAAAACATCGGGGTCTGGAAGGATTCCGGCCGACGTCTACTAGTAGGGCGCCCCCCAGTTTGTGGATAAGTTCACAAAGCGTCATAGACAAGTTCCTCAGGACTTCAAGGACGCAACAATCGCCCATCTCTAAACATAGAAAGGAAACCGACACTTTGTGAGAATTACAGAGAAATCTGGCTGCTCAACATCACCAGAGAGATCTTCATTCGCATCCTCGAACAAGGATGTCTGCCGGAAAAGTCTGGGTTGATTCCGTTGTCACCGCGAAACCACTGACACGATCTTCGGGGCATCCATTCTGCAAAAGGAATGCTCCGAAGTGCAGGGCCACCTATACTCTAACTTCGTGGACTTCAAGAAAACTTTTGACACAGGAAGTTGCAATGGACTGTGGAAAATCCTGCAGAAACTCGGTTGTTTTGAACGATTTACACTCACGGTACGTCAACTCTACGGCGACATGATAGTGCGAGTCACGGAGAATAGGACCTTCTCTGAAGCACTTGCATTAACTAGGGGAGTGAAGCATGACTGCGTACTCGTCTCTTCCCTCTTCAACCTCATGTTTTCTGCCATTCTGATGGACGCCTACCGTGATGACCGCCCCAGTATCTGCATTGCCTATAGGACCGACAGAAAACTTCTAAACAGCCGGAACATGCAGTCCTCAGCGCCTCTTTCCACGACCGGCTATTCGCGCATGATTTCGCACTCAACACTACGACATGCAACGGAGTATGCAGCCCATCGTCGCCGGGTACGCCACCTTCGGACTGACCACCAGTAAGGACAAAACGGCGGTCATGCATCGACCACCATTTGGCGATTCATACAGTCTCCCTCGCATCCACATCAACAGTGCTGAACCGCAGACCATGGACAGCTTCACCAGCTATGTCAGGAAGCTGCACCCGCAGAATACTGAAGCTGAGATGGGAGGGCGGGATCCCGGACACAGAAATCCTCAATATCCACGCCATGCCGAGGCAACTGCAACTGCAAAGGAACGGCCATCTGATGAGAATGGACAATGATCAGCAACCAAAACATGTCCTCAACGGAGATATTGTCGAAGGTGCTCGCTGGCCTGGAGGACTGTGAAGAATCCTCTGAAGTGACTGCTTGTCAACCTAAAGGTCTGGGAGGACTGCACCCAGGACAGGCCGACAGGGCAAAGAGAAGTAAAGACCGGCACAGCAATCTACAAATTAAATAGGATCAAGGGGCTAAACAGAAGCTTGCAAGTCTCAGGTGTCCCGATTCGTAACGTCGCCAATAAATCCCACCAAACAGGCCCGGGCTGTCAACAAATATTTCGCGCACAGATCGAACTCTTCGGACACCTTCGGACCTAATGCATCAACCCCTGGACAAATGCAACTGCCGCCTCCACGACCGCAAACCACCACGTGAACCAGGACTACGAAAACCACTCCTGCCACCGTTGCTCCAAATCCCCGTGCCCCACCGTCGTCGATCACTGCCACCTTCATCATCTCTCCCTCACTCACCACGGCGATGAACACAGCCACCCCTATCAACCCCGCTACCCAATCAAAACGCTCCCGACGTCCTGTTAAACACTTCGCTTTCACCACCACCACCACCGCCACCGCCGCCACCACCCCCATCTCCAGTGATGTGGAGGTGGAGGTGTATATTCCCGATCGAAACCAACAGGACAGCGGGCTCGTGACACAGTGGTCAGAGGCGGGAACTCTTATCTCACAGGTTGAAATTTCGAGCCTCGGGTTTTGCACACTACGAGGTTGGGTATGACTGGCTGACGACGGCTAATAAGTCAGAAGTGGCCATTCTAGTCTCCCTTGTTTTTGTCGGTAATACGCCTTCTGCCTATATCATACGCCGCTGTGCGGCTGCTGGTTGGTTTCGAGAAAGAGCCGTAAGACGCAACGGAACGAGTGAGTCCCGTAAGAACGATCGGTCAGCGTCCCCTACAGATATGGACTCGATCCCAACTTGACTTAATTGCTATCGCACATTTACCTCACATATCGACTCGGCAAACCACTTGTGGATCCGTTACACCGTTCAACCGTTCGCACTCCTCTCGCACATTTTCTCGTCGCAGGGGCCTATTCGATTACTTGCACAGCCAGGAAATGGGAGCTAACCGCAATATCGATACCCCAAACACACGGCAAGGCTCCATATCCGGCATTAATAACTCCTCATCTACGACCTGACTACAGCTAATAGCCTCACAAACCAAGCCGGTTCTACAGCCCGGAACACGTCATACCTTCATTGCTACCGCAGATGTACATCATGCATTGGCTTGGCTGGTCATTTTAGAATCCATCATTCGGAGACTAGCGAACCAATGCCAAGGACGCCAACGTACGGCCACTGCACCTGCCTCAACTGCCCATATTATCAACGCACCTTCACCCACCGCATGGGCATAGTAGGTCGCATGCGCCCTCTCAATAACTTACGGTAACTCACCGCAGACACAACCACGTCAACAAATTCCCTGCGTCCACACTCCTCCAAAATGCCACCTCGGTTGCACGTCTCGCGTAAGCGAGAAGTGTGCTTTCCGGCTTATTTTTTCGTGTGGCTCCTCTGCTAAATTTGAAATTCCAACTTACTATCCCCCTCGTTTTGGAAGCCAGATCATGCACGTACACGCTCAGACGAGATCTCGAGCTCTATCAACCACCGCGCCCCATTTCCCGCACCAGATGACTGACCAGCTCGGAAATTGGCAGGGTCCTAGGAGAGGAAATCGAGTGTGTCGATGACTCGGCGTATTTTCTTACTATAAACAATCTGACGCGCTTACAGCTATCCTCGTGCACTAAAAGCCGTCGCTTGGAAGTTTGCCAACTGACGGGATAACTCGTATCTCGCAGCCAGTCCAGAGCGTTTGTGCGAAGGGGCCGACGGCTGGACTGAGTGTCAGGCTGCAATGATTCCTTCATAATGCGGCCTCTATGGCATTCCCACTATGTGGGATCCTGGCCGAGAGTGGCGGCACTCCAAGGGGCGGGTCTCGCCGCGCCAGCCACCTGCAGTCTCTTCCACCTCCGGTCTTCTCGACTCTGTCTTGACGCCGGACCTAGTTGGGGGAGGATAAGAGAGTGTGCTTGATGCTACGCAAGTCCGCTATTAGTATAAACTACTTCATCTGGAAGTCACCGTCCCTATTTTCACTCTGCCATGGAGCACAGGGGTGACATCGTCGAAATCGACGGTCGAAATCTCACGTGAGAACAGTAATGTCGCCCGCCAGAAAATTGGTTCCCTGTTCCGCGTAATTCAGGTGAAGTAGGATCTGAACAAGCGCGTTATTTTTTTTAAGAAAGTGGATACGCAATTTAAAAAATTAAGACTTGCCAATCATCGTACTTTTATGTCCTAAAAGTCACAATAGCAAAAGAAGAGGGGTCGCTCACCGAGAGAGGTGTATTTGAGGTCTGACGTCACAATGGCGCCTACAGACAAGTCCCTTGTTTTGACATATTCAAATTTACAATTATTTCATGGAAACCCGAAGAAACCACCAGGAAACGGTCATTAATGTTTTTGATCATATGCCTGATTATTTTATGTGTCGTCTAATTTCTGCTGATGCGTAATTCAAAAAATGGGGTCTGTACAGCATTAACAGTTCGAGTGATATTTTAATACTCATGTGGCTACTCCGCGTGAAATTAATAAACGCGGAACGAAGTCTTGGAGCAAGCAGACATAGCGAAAATAGTCCTGATTTGGGGAGATATGTGAGTTCTTTCTTCATGGTTAAAAAGACTCCTAATATATTTCACGGAAGAGAAAATGTGGGCGACCCGTTCCAATTTTCCTATGATTTCGCCTTGAAAATGACGAGATATTTGAACATTCGCCAGTAAAATTTCATGCTAAAGTACTTCTAAAAAGGTAACCATTGGCTGCCCATTGGTTCTGAAGATACAATCGTTCAGCTCTTTTATCTTCTGGCGTGCTGCAGTGTGTTTGGACTCTTTGGAGTAGAGTGCAGACACAGCAATGTTTGTGAGACGGAGGATGGTTAGTGTTGAAGTGTAGGATCTGTCTCTTGTCGGTGGATTTACGGAATATTGTGGTTTGCAGTTGTACACTTGTAAGCCGGTGCACGAACACGTCAAAGAAGGGCAGTTGGTTGTTTGTTTCTGCCTCCATCGTAAATACCATGCTAAAGTACTTCTTAAAAGGCAACTTATAAGAGTTTTTCAATTGATCAAAACACACCCATATTAGGCCTTTGTTTTAGACGTTCGTTCTTTGTTAGCGAGGAGGTTTCATGTTTGTTGGGCTTCCAGATATGACCCAATCGACCATATGAATAAAACCACTCAACAACTCAGTGCTGTGGTCAATATTTTCAAGAATTATTTTTTGATATTTTTGATAGGAACCAACTGCAGAACTCATCTTCTCAGGTATCTGAATAAGGACGCTAAAAACTTAAAATAATTTACTGATATTTCAAAAAATTCCTATAACTCAGCCGACTTCACCATCAGCAAAAATCACACAGTGATAATAATGGTATGCTTACGATTGCATCTGGTAATTGTATGCGAGTTTATTACTCACTGGCAAACATCTTGACACATTACCTTATGGAAACTCTTATCCTTATGGTGTCTATCTGCGAACTCAAAGGGAATACTCTTTGCTTTAACCAACTGCAACTCGGACAAAACGAATACGGAAAATTAAATCGAATTTCACTAATGAGATTCTAAAACCAGTGATTGAAATTTACCTACTTAATTATGTGCGCTACTTCCCATAGCACAAATTTTTGGAGGGTTCGCACTGAAAAAGTGTTTAAAGGACAGCTTTTCAAATGTTACTGTGCCTATACCGTTTCGATTAGTCAATTATTTTTATGAACATGCCCTGTAAACTTCTAAAAGTTAAGTTTATTCAGGCAACATTAATGATCACTTTTCTGAATCTGCGCTCCTTTGGGGCCCCAAACTACAAGGGGACGAGTATAATCCAACAATTGATCGAAGGACACATTTCAAACATATGCTTCAGCAGTGGATGTACACCGATCCACTAGATTCGCGCAGTAAACAAGATCTTTTTTGGTGGCAAAGACCGCGAACAGGACGCTAACTAAATGGCTGAAATGTATAAGAGGCTAATGTATAAGTCCACCCACACTCTGTCGTCTAACCCCTAATATATATATATATATATATATATATATATATACGTGTGTGTGTGTGGGGTGTAGGGGTGTCAGCGGTGGGTCCACGTGATGGTCGTAGTGGTCGCTCACTTGCTTGCAGGTGAGACTACGCCTAGCGTCCATTTGCTGGCACCTAACTCTCACCTGTGGCTCCACGTAGCTGGGCTCTGCTCAGCGGCCACACCCCGGGCAACTGTCTCGACCGGCGGGCTAAACCAGGTGAGGGTATCCGTGCGTGCACCTGCACGCGCGGTACTGTGGTCTGCGCTGGCCGGATGGATCTTCGCGTCGACATCGTAGAGACGAGGCTCTGTCTGGACCATCGCAGGAGGCCACCAGGTAAGTTCCCCCTCAGGTAAGTGCATTTGCTTTGTTTCTTCCTTTTGTTTGTTGAAGTTCCGCGTCGTACGCTGCGCTTGCTGCCTGCCCTTTATATGCTAGTCTGTCTGTTAATAGCTAAACGACACCCTCGATGCCTGCTGCGATTGTCTGTCCGTCAGTCTATGCCACTCTCTACTAATAGCTAGGTGTTACGGTGCTTGACTTTGTGTGGTGCCCTCACTTTGTCTCTGACTGATGACTGTGTCCACTTGTCCACTCTAGTTCTAAGTCCCATAACGTTAGGTATTGTGTATGCTCTCTCCTACTTCACTCCATCACATCATCACCACCACCAAGGTCCCATGCTAATTCGGGTCGTTCTCTCACTAACAAAAAGTCGTGGCCCATAGTGGAGTCCGGCAGCCGTCTGGGATAACCGGGCAGCCCTGTTCAGGGATGCGTTGCCTGCCCCCGCGATGGGGAGGGGGCTAGAAAAGGTGCCCTAAAGATCGCTGGGAACCACGCTGTCTGTAGGCTGGCCGTGGCCGCAGACAAAAACACACGGTCGAAACAGCCAAAACCGAAACAACAACAACAACAATCACTCTCTTCCTCTTCCAGCCTATTCTTCTTCTTCTCCTACTCCTACTTTTCGCCACCGCAGTCGCCAGACTGGCAGGGTGAGCCCGCTCACTCTGGCAGCCTGGAATGTTCGTTCCCTTTTAGACAATGCAAGGAGCAACCGACCGGAACGGAGGACGGCGCTAGTGACACGAGAACTGGCGCGTTACAAGGTGGACATCGCCGCACTCAGTGAGACCCGATTCTCCGAACAAGGCCAACTGGAGGAGGTGGGTGCCGGCTACACCTTCTTCTGGAGCGGTCGACCCAGGGCAGAGCGACGGGACGCGGGTGTCGCCTTCGCCATTCGGAACGACATCGTGGGACGACTGCCCTGTTTGCCGCAGGGAATCAACGACCGCCTAATGAGCCTCCGTCTGCCCCTCCGGCGAGGAGGCAAGTTCGCCACCATCATCAGCGCCTACGCTCCGACCATGACCAACCCCGACGCCGTCAAAGACAAATTCTACGAGGACCTGCATGCCCTCTTGGCGACTGTGTCGAAGGCGGACAAGTTGATTGTCCTTGGCGACTTCAACGCCCGCGTCGGCACAGACCATACTGCCTGGAGGGGAGTGCTGGGCCCCCACGGTCTCCGCGGCTCCAACGACAATGGTCTGCTATTGCTTCGCGCCTGCGCAGAACACCGCCTCATCTTGACGAACACGTTCTTCTGTCTGCCGGAGCGAGAGAAGGCCACCTGGAGGCATCCTCGGTCGCGTCAGTGGCACCTACTGGACTATGTCCTCGTTCAGAGGCGAGATCAGCGGGACGTGCTGGTGACGAAGGCGATCGCGGGTGCTGACGGGTGGACCGACCATCGCCTCGTCATCTCGAAGATGCGTATTCGCCTACAGCCTCGCAGGAGACCACAAGGTAAGCGACCCCCAGGTAAGCTGAATGTTGCTTTGTTGTCTCTGCCTGCTCGCCGTCTACATTTCAGCAATGAGCTAGCTCAACGGCTAGACAACCTTCCTATCGCTGCCGCCGCCGACGACGCCGCCGCCGCCGCTGCCGAGAACGCCTCCGTGGAGAACCGCTGGTGTCAACTGCGAGACACGGTCCAGTCGACGGCGCTCGCCGTCCTCGGTCGCGCTCCCCGCCAAAACCAGGACTGGTTCGACGACAACGACGCCGCCATCAGAAATCTGCTTGCTGAGAAGAACCGCCTACACAAAGCCTACGTAGATCACCCCACTGAGGACAACATAGCTGCCTTCTATCGCAGTCGCCGACAGCTTCAGCAACGACTGCGCGAGATGCAGGACGCCTGGACTGCTCGCAAAGCTGAGGAGATCCAAGGCTACGCGGACCGCAACGAATGGAAGAACTTCTTCTCCGCGATCAAAGCTGTCTACGGTCCGCCGACGAAGGGCACTGCTCCTCTCCTCAGCGCCGACGGCAGCACTCTCCTGACTGAGAAGACGCAAATCCTACAGCGATGGGCCGAGCACTTCCGAGGCGTCCTCAACCGCCCTTCCGTCATCTCCGACGCCGCCATCGCCCGCTTGCCGCAAGTGGAGACCAACGTGGACCTCGACCTCCCGCCATCTCTCCAGGAGACCATCAGGGCCGTGCAGCAACTCTTCGGCGGTAAAGCCCCCGGATCGGACGCAATCCCTGTTGAGGTCTACAAGCACGGAGGTCCCCTACTGATGGATCACCTGACTGCGCTCTTCCAGGAGATGTGGCGTCCAGGTGAAGTCCCGCAAGATTTCAAGGACGCAACTATCGTGCACCTATACAAGCGAAAAGGGAATCGCCAAGTCTGCGACAACCACCGCGGCATCTCCCTACTGAATATCGCCGGGAAGATCTTCGCTCGCATCCTGCTCAACCGTCTCAACAACCATCTGGAACAGGGCCTTCTGCCGGAAAGCCAATGCGGCTTCCGTCGTCATCGTGGGACCACGGATATGATCTTCGCCGCCCGTCAACTTCAGAAGAAGTGTCAGGAGATGCGGACCCACCTGTACTCTACCTTCGTGGACCTGACGAAAGCCTTCGACACGGTGAATCGTGCAGGACTGTGGAAGATCATGCAGAAATTCGGTTGTCCGGAGCGATTCACTCAGATGGTGCGTCAGCTGCACGACGGTATGATGGCGCGAGTCACGGACAACGGAGCTGTCTCAGAGGCATTCGCAGTGACCAACGGAGTGAAGCAGGACTGTGTGCTGGCGCATGTCTCATGTTCTCTGCCATGCTGATGGACGCCTACCGCGACGAACGCCCTGGAATCCGCATCGCCTATAGAACGGACGGTCATCTCCTGAATCAACGGCGCATGAACTTCCAATCGCGTGTATCCACAGCCACCGTGCACAAACTCCTCTTCGCCGACTACTGTGCCCTGAACACCACCTCGGAAGAGGAGATGCAACGGAGCATGGACCTATTCTCCGCCGCCTGCGAGAACTTTGGGCTGGTTATCAACACGCAGAAGACGGTGGTGATGCATCAACCGCCACCCAACTCAGTCACAGCCCCCAACGCGCCGCCGCAAATCAGCGTGAACGGAACCCAACTGCAAGTGGTGGAGAACTTCCCGTATCTGGGCAGTACCCTCTCCCGCAACAGCAAGATCGACGACGAAGTCGCCAACAGGATCTCGAAAGCCAGTCAAGCCTTCAGTCGTCTCCGAAGCACAGTTTGGAATCGCCACGGTCTCCAACTGAGCACAAAGCTGAAGATGTACAAGGCCGTCATCCTGCCGACGTTACTGTACGGAGCAGAGACATGGACGGTGTACACGAGACAGGCACGCCGACTGAACCACTTCCACCTCAGTTGTCTCCGTCGCATCCTGAGGCTGAACTGGCAGGATCGAATCCCCGACACTTAAGTACTGGAACGAACGGGAATCCCCAGCATCTACGCCATTCTGAAACAAATACAGCTGCGCTGGAGCGGCCACCTGGTGCGCATGGACGACGAGCGACTACCCAAACGACTCTTCTACGGAGACGTCGCGACGGGTTCTCGTCGTCAAGGAGGCCAAATTCGCCGTTACAAGGATGCTCTGAAGTCCTCCCTGAAGCGCCTGCAAATCAACCCGACCAACTGGGAAGAGCTCGCTCGCGATCGTCCGACATGGAGGAGAACAGTGAAGACGGGCGCTGCTATCTATGAAGCCAACTGAATCGCCGCCGCCAAAGCGAAACGCGAAGCCCGCAAATCACAACTTCGCCCAGTCCGCAACGCCGCCGCACAACCTCCCCCTACGTGTCCTCGATGTAAACGGACATTCCGGGCTCGAATCGGACTTGTTGGACATCTCCGAAACAACTTCACCTCTCGAACTGCTCCAGCCATCGTCCCCCCGCCCGCCTCTTCCTCGTCCTCTCTTCCGCCAACTAACTCTGACACTCCTTCTGCACCACCACTTCCATCCTCCTCCTCCTCCTTCTCCTCCACTACCCCAGCGGCGGCCGTTCAGACTGCCGTCTCACACATCACCAACCCCGACACAATAACCGCCACCACCCCCACCTCTCCCGATTCCAGTGATGAGGATCAGGACTACACCTGCCCTCACTGCGACCGCACCTTCACCTCTCGCATCGGCCTGGTCGGTCACTTGCGAATCCATCGCACAGAGACTGGCGAACCAGTGTCTGGAGCACCAACCTACACCCACCGCACTCACCTCCACTGCCCACACTGCCCTCGCACCTTCACGCATCGCATGGGTCTATTCGGCCACATGCGCATCCACGACGACCTGCGGTAGACAGCCGCCGGTCACACCACACATTCCCTCACTCCCTACCTCCTAACACCATCACCCAACCAGACATCAACCCCCACACACCTCATGCATTCAACTGCCGCCTCCCACGCAAGTGGGATGAGTGCATCTCGACTCGGTCTCCATGCGGCTTCGGCTGCACGCGTGACTTGTGTCCGAGACTAACCCGACACGTCAAGTGCCGTGGATAGGAAGGTTGATGATTGAGGCTCGCTCTCGGTTCACGCAGTTCGTCACGTTGCGTGTGTGTGTTGTGTGGAGTGGCGGACTGGTGGGCTGGGGATGGGCTGAAGCAGCACCTTCCACGGCCCTCTCACGCAAGTGGGAGACACGCTGTTCTACCCCCGTTGTGTGAAATCCTGGTGTTTGTGTGTGTATGGGGGGCCAGGTCGTGCTGTGGCGCGCGCAGGCATGGTCAGTCGACCATGTCAGCCACCGCGCCCATTCCCCACTCCAGTCTGCTGACCGGCTCGGACAGCGGCTGGGGTTTGGGAGTGGGAAGGGAGAGTGAGGTCGTCGACTCAGCGCACTTTCTCCTCACTATAAACAATCTGACGCGCTTGAAGCTATCACGGTGCGCTAAAAGCCGTGGCTTGGAAGGTTGCCAACTGACGGGGTACCTTGGACCTCCTCCTTCACTGGAGGCGGTCTGAGAGTCAGGCTACAATGGCTCCTTTTTAATGTGGCCTTTATGGCACTCCCATTGTGTGGGATCCGAGCCAGGCGTTGGCGGCACGCCCAGGTGCGGCTTCGGCCGCGCCAGCCTCCAAATCTCTGTTGTGTTGGTTGAAATCCTGGTTATTGTTGTGTGGACCAGGGGGTGTGGTGGAACGCCAAGGTGAGGATCCGTCCGAGCCATCCACCTGCGGCCTCCCTCGTCTCCGGTCTTCTTGACTCTGTCTTGACACCGGGCCCAGGCGGGGGAGGAGGAGAGAGTGTAGGTAGATGCAGCGCAAGTCTACCGGCACTATAAACCCCTGCGCAAGTCACCGTCCCTGCTCCCACCGCTGCTGCAGCTGTGGGGCACACGGTGGACATCGTCGAAATCGACGGTCGAACTGTCGAGTGTGTGTGTGTGTGTGTGTCAAGTAAGCGTTTGACCCCCACTTTCGTCCGCATATTTTTTCCGCACACCAGCTTGCTACTGACGATAGCGAACGTTGTGCCCAATGACACATGACAGTTCGACCGTCGCTACCGACGACACCCACCGTGTGCTCCCCATCATGGTGAGAGCAGGGATGGTGACGCGTTAACTAGTTAATAATGATAGAAGACTTGTACAGCATCTACTGCACTCTCTCCTCCCTCCCCACCTGGACTCGGTGTCAAGACAGGGTCAGGAAGACCGGAGGCAAGGTAAGGCACAGGTGGATGGCACGGTCGAGCCCGCAACTTGGCGTTTTACCTCCTACCCCCTAATTCAGACAGCAAATGGCCAGGTTTTTTGACCAACAACAACAATGGGGGACGGCAGAAGATACATTGTGTGCGATGTCTGTCAGCAACCGGGTCTGCCACCGCACCCCGAAATGTTGGCATTTGTTTTAGTGCACAAATCCGATAACGCCTGCCAGAATCCGATATGGTCCCGTTTTGGTCCAGCGCATCTACCATGCGGCCCGTCTGGGGGGCTCACACAGACACACACACACACACACGAGAGTTTGACCATCGGTTTCGACGATGTCCAACGTGTGCTGCGCAGCAAGGCGGAGCCGGGTATGGTGGCTTGTGCTTGAGTTAGTTTGTAGTGCTAGTAGATTTGCACAGCATCCGCCGTACTCTCTCCTCCGACTCACTATCTGGACTCGGAGTCAACACAGAGTCAAGGGGACCGGAGATGGGGGAGGGGGGGGGGGCGCAGGTGGCCGGAGCCGTGCCTGGGCGTGCCACCACACCCCCTGGTCCACACAGCAAATGGCCAGGATTTGTCGTCAAAAATAACGACATTCGAAAGGGGCCAGAGCGACGAGGATGACTGGGCAGCCATGCCTACCACTTGTATACCCAGCGGGAGCGCAGACGCGTCGACAGGCAGGGAACCAGGTGTCAGGGAACTGCCAACATATACCAGGCAACGAGGGCCATGGTTTGCTGATCATGGCCTGTAAGATGTCCTAATGCTGACCCTAACATTAACACTCGCAAATCTGACATGTGACCCAACCCTAGCCCTCCTGGCCATACCCAACACAGCCCCAACGCTGGCTTTCCTAACTCCACCGCCAAAACTTATTCAAACCACCATGCTTTTGTTTTAGCTCATTAATCCAATACACTGCTCGAAAACTTCTTTCAGTATATCAACTACGATTCTATCTCTGTGGCGTTTGTGTTTGTCTGGTATTTAGTGGTAAAAGCATCGTTTTCTCATCAAAGAGTCCTCTGCTGGCTTGATAAATGCATTTTTTGCCGTCATACACTTCTGTTAAACGATTAACTTAACTAATGTTCATAAGGACTTGGGAGGATGGCACTAGTTCTTCCCCCAACAGAGATTAGTTGCACGTGTACGCACTCATGTTGGAATAGCAGGAAGGAGTTCTCGTCCGGTGAATTCAGCACAATGACAATTCCGTATTTCAACCAAACATTTTAAGACCACTTCCATATGCTATTTTATTATCTCTGGGCGACATGCTATGTATTCTCAAACGCAATTTGGCTAATTGTTAGCCAAAACTTTCATCGTCTCGAAGAATGTACGTCATAGGCCAGATGAAGTTAGATATATAAACGTGTCAAGTAAGCCTTTGACTCTCACTGTTGTGGACACAACAGTGTGATTTGACACGACGTTTGCTGTCGTCAGTGGCAAGCTGGCGGGCGGACTAAATGGGATCGAGTGAGATTCTAAGCACAACAGTGAGGGTCAAACGCTTACTTGACATGTTTTATGTCTCACTTCATATGGTCTACGACGTACTGATGGTCGGTACCGCTCGTGAAACCCTCGTTCGGGTCTTTGCTTAGTTTATATATATATGTCGAAGTCGAATGTGTGCTTTGGGAAAGGAAGTTTATTGTGCAAATTTTCGACGCCGGTTCCCCGAGTCGTCGTCAGGCACAGACGGAAAGCAAATGCGCCAACACAGCTAACATTTTAAGTGCACGTAAAAAATCTCTAATCGCCTGATGCTCACGCCAGTAAGCGGCCGTCGTGTTTGTCAGTCCGTTCTGATTGGTCCCCGCCTCTTCCATATCTCCTTGAGATTTCTGTACGCGGCATCCAACTCGATGTGCCTGTTGATGCATGAATCGTCTGACTGCATGGCCTCAAGGAACTCTCGGCCTTTCTTTGAGGGGCACACAGCGACAATGCGAGTTTTTTCCCAAGCGAAAGTGTGTCCGGTGTCCAGGCTGTGCATGGCCACTTGAGATAGATGGTCTCGCCTCTTCACTGCCAACTGGTGTTCGTGGATGCGTGTAGAGGCGCGTTTTCCAGTCTGGCCACAATAGACGGCATCACACGCTTCACAAGGGATCTTGTAAACGACTTCTTTTTTGTCCAAATAGTTAACCTTATCTTTAGGGTGCACGAGCTGAGTGCGCAGAGTAGTCGTCGGTCGGTGCGCCACCTGAATTTGGTGCTTCCTTAAGCGTCTTTCAACGAGTTCGGACACATTTTTAATGTAAGGAAGTGTTCGCCAAGTTTTCGGTTCGGCCGTCTGATTTGGGCTATCTGGCTCCTTTCTGTCCGACTATTTCTGCCTCATGCATCGGCGCACGAAATCTCTAGGGTACCCATTCCGCGAAAACAATTCACACAAGAATTTTAGTTCGTCTTGATAACCTTATTCATCAGAGCAATGTGTTTTTGCTCGATTAAGCAGACTTTTGACAGCACCCCGTTTGTGAAAAATTGGCTGATTGCTCTCGTAAGGTAGAATGACTTTCGCGTAAGTGTCTCTACGGTAAACTGACGTACGTAGTGTTCCGTCAGTCTTTTGTTGTACGAGAACATCCAGGAAAGGCAGTTTACTGTCGACTTCCTTTTCGAGTGTGAACGTAATCCCCGGAATCGTCGAGTTTATATTGTTGTGGAGCGCTTCCAATTGGTCCTTTTTAACGATAACAAACGTGTCATCGACATATCGCAGCCACAACTTAGGTTTAACTGACGGAAGAGCCGTAGTCTCCAGTTTCTGCATTGTGACTTCGGCGAGAAAACCAGAAATTGGGGACCCCATAGGAGCGCCTTTCAGTTGCTGATAGCACTGTTGGTCGAAGAAGAAGTTGGTTTCCAAGCATAGGTCTATGAGTTTGAGCACGGCAGTTGCGGGAACGTCTATGTCATGGGAAATCAATAATTCTTCTGTGCATTGTTTTGCCACATCTAGAGGTATCGATGTGAAGAGGGACACGACATCGAAGGAAACCATTATTTCATCAGAAGAGATTGTGATTCCTTCCAATTTCTTTAGAAACTCATTTAAGTTCTCAATTGAAGTTTCACAGTTCCTCGAAAGCGGATGAAGTTTTTGGAATAACCACTTGGAAATTTTGTAGTTCGGTGCCCCGATTAATGATACTATCGGTCGTAGTGGGACATCCGTCTTGTGAACTTTAGGCAATCCATACATCTTCGCGATTGTCGGTTCATTTTGTCTCGGGGATTTCGCTATATCTCCTGACAGTTGCTTCTTCCCTGTAAGACGCTTTAGAACTTTATCAATGGATGAAAGCTGTGCTTTGGTAGGGTCCGCTGAAAGTGGTTTATAAGTAGATCCATCTTCTAACAATGACATCATCTTATTATTGTAGTCCGTTCTGAACGACGGGTTGGTGTAACCGACTTGATAATTCACGAGTATACATCGATTTTCCGACGAGCCTTCTCCTTTTATTATATATATATATTCACTCAGAATTGGGCGCACACCGATCCATTGGCTTCCCGAAGCAAAAAAGCTTCGTATATATATATATATACTCAAAAGCTTAATTTTCTCCTCCGTCAGTTAACGAAATATTAGTAG